TATTAAAAAAAACCGCATCAAAATCCGTTGCGTAGTTTTAAAGATCTAAGCATACATACGGACATACAGCGAAAGCGACTTTGTTTTATACTATGTTATGTTATTAACCCCCCTCCCCTAGCCCAAACAACATTGTTTATAAATTTTGGCGATGTAATTCGATTGCAATCAATTTGTACTCACTCAACAATTTATCGGTGAAGGTCACGCATCCGAATTCAAGGCTGTGTCTATGAATGAACGATTGTAACATCTAGCAGTGAATGGTTTTCAATCTGTTTAACTTAGGCTTAGGCTTACATCACGTGAAAACGAATGGACAAGTATTTCAGATCTGAAGTCTCTGAGGATCGTCTTATTAGAATAGAGGTAATATAATTTGTTGTTGTCATTAGACGGAGCAATCGCCTCGTGCCTAAGTGGGTCATTGGCTGCACGTCGAGTTATGTAACACTAGCAGTGGCTCCGCGAGGCACTCGCAAGTGCACACTGCTACAAACCTCTCCTTATCATGTGGACATTTGCTATTTCAATCCTACATTATACTAGGCAACTTAATCTTTACCGTTATGCTATTGTATAGTCTCAGTCTAGTGTTTAAGCAACAGTGATGGTACCTATTACGTGTCCAATCTATTCTAGACGAATCGTTTAGCTTAATATGAGCATATTCGGTGATCTATCTTTGTAATCTTTTACATAACGGTCTGTTAAATATGACTGTACAAGTAAATTGTATATTACAAACCTCGGTACCGAGATATTATGCAAGTGAAGCTATAATCGTGTTGGGAGTTGGAAATTGTTAGTGTGCTTTGTCAGAATAGCTGGTTGTTGTCAAACAATGTTGAGTCAAGTAAGAGTTGGGTTTTGCGTTTGACTGACTACTGAGTGGTTGGGGCCTGAGTGTACCTTACTGGCCGTTGTCGTCATGGTCGTCGCGTGGGAATACACGTACTTAGAATTCTAATTACATTTACATTCTACATGTATCTACTATGTTCAGTGTTTAATGTAGTTACGGCGGTGTAACCTGCCTCCGAGCTACAAAGAAGCGATAACATAATAGGAATTCTATGAAAGAAACGAAGATGTCATCAACACAAAGACGTTACCGATCGATTGTGTTCACAAGGAAAATGGATTGTCGCTCACTTACGTTGAGATTACAAGACTGGCGACGTAGCTAAGTGCTAGTGTTGAAACTAATGACTGCACTATTTGTAACTCAGTCCAATAGGCGGCGCTACGTACAACTGCAAGTACTCGTACCAATAATTTGTACTATTTACCAAATTGCTTTCAGGTAATTCAGAAAATGCTACTAATGATGTTTAAACTCTTTCAAGACTTGTTTCTTTGGGTGACGTGTGACACATACCTTATGATTCTTCAGATAATTTTAGCCACAATAGTGTATTAAGAGTGTGTACTTTGCAATTACTCACTAAGCTGGGAAACAATAGTGCGTGGGTGGACGTCAGACAATTGTGGGGAATACCGTATTATTGACATTCTTGTTTCGTCCCGGTGCGTTATACGATCGACAGCCAGCCATATTTATGAGATTTAATGAATTAATTATCTTATAGAATAAAATATTGAAAGAAAAATGTCAGTTCTTTAATTTACAGCTGTCGAGCAACGCTATAAATATGTATTTGTAAGGCGTGATTTGATTAATTGAACATAATAGAGTACTTGGTTTTACTTTATTGTTTCCGTTTTACAGTTTTTTCATAAGAATTACAAACTTCATTCCATAAAAATAATTTCATGTAATAAAGGAATAATTTATTGTCATACGCTTGGTGTAAATTGGTACAGACTAAAACTTCGAAATCTAAGTATTTGTTCGGATGTTAGACATCTGAATTAATTGATCCATCTTAATCAAAGATCGCAATTCATCTCAGTTTCGAACATAAATCCAAACAATATTTGTTAAAAATCCATTTTAATTCACAGATTTTGGAGTACATTAATTTCGTGAGTAAGTAGTAAGAAAACGAGTCACGATTACGATTCGAACGTCAGACAGAAAAATAACATTAGCAATTATGCTGTTACTTTTTACTAATAGGTATTTGTTGATGAAACACGTGCAATTATCTGTACTATTGTCAATAAATACCGTGTTTGTGAATCGAATCAGAATGCATTCTTTGTTATTACTCATTTGGACTGTTTCTCCTTTATCGTTATCAGTAGGTACCTATTTTCTAGCGTCATGGTACCTGACATTCATTATTGTTAGCCGCATTTATACAGCAGGTCAAGTAATTAAGGTTTGATGACAGATTATTCCACTGAACTTTGTCTTTCCAACCCATAATTAAACCACTATACCTACTAGGTACAATTATTATCCTGGTCAAGCAAGATCATAAGATCTACATGTTTATTGGTTTGTTATTTCTGAGAATATGGAATATTGTTATCTAAATTAATATTTACTACGTCAATAATGCAAGGAATGGTAATTTTATAACAATTAACTTGTTGTACAAACCAGACCTACCAAGTACAATTGTCTAGTCAACCTCGCTGCAATCGCATATCGTTATGACTTCAGCAGTGGTTTTCTATAAGACGGCTATACGAAGTTGTGAAAACACTATAAAGGCACCCCATACCGATACAGCAAAAACACACTATTTAACAGATTCATAAAAATACGTTGTTGACGTCATTAGTTACTTATTGGCACACTACGCCCGAATACTGAAATGTTACGCATAAGTGTAGTTCTGTCACTACAAATTCTTTGTAACAGACGTGGTATGATATTTAAGAACAATTTAAAATTTAGTAGCATTCAGTAATCGGGTGTAAGGAACATAAGCACACTCCTCTTCAGTAAGATATCGTATCTAAACATCATCAGTTGTGAAATAAAATATCCCGAGCGTACGACGCGTCGCGTTCTGCGCGCGCCTCAAAGAGCCATCAGACTACCACGTAGGGGCCCAATAGTGCTGATGCCGATACGGAGCCGCGGAGAACCTAACGGGTTACAGGGGCTCCGGCTCGAAGCGCATGAGTAGGAATGGGGTGGTTTTTAGTCAGACACTGACAAGAGAGACAAGAGTCTGACACTGTGATCCTGCCTCACCAAGGCGGGAGAAGTCATTCGATGATTTTCCCCCATTAAAAAAAGTTGTGAAATATGTACAGTCTGAGTATTGATTGTATTTACAATGTAATTTTGACGTTGCTAAATCGTTTACAGGAAAATTCTATCAATGGTCAATAAATTTAAGTAATAAAACCCAGCTGTGAGTTGGAATACACATAATATGTTATAACGCTGACTGAATAAGTAATGTCTGTCTTAATCTGAAGCAATTGTATTCAAATAGTAACGTCGGCGTCGGTGGTTGCTGTATCTGTTGCGATCGGTCGACATTGACATTGCCGACGCGTCTGCACGCTAGCCGACGTCGAAAATTCCGCTTTGTAATTGAAAATAACTTTCATTGAAATGTATCGATGCGGAGCCCGGCTCGAGATACGTGAAAGCATTTCAGAGCGTCCAGTCTAACTTGGGAGCTGGCGGTGCGCTGCTTGCGATGATAAAGATCAGTTGTTTCTTAATTGAGGTACATTTCCATGTAGTTCTTTATTGTTCTGCGGCTCAAGAGAAGTTGGTGATAC